CTGCAGTCCAAGCTATTTGGCAGGCTGAAGCAGGAGAATCGCTTGAACCTGGGAAGCGCAGGTTGCAGTGAGCTGAGATCGTGCCACTGTACTCCAGCCTGGGTGACAGAGGGAGGCTCCATCTCAAAAAAAAAAAAAAAAATTATATTCTATGACCTGATGGGGTTTATTCCAGGAGTGCAAGGCTGGCCTACATTCAAAAATCGGCTGGGCATGGTGGGTCACGCCTGTAATTCCAGTACTTTGGGAGGCTGAGGTGGGCGGATCCTTTGAGGTTGGGAGTTCCAGACTAGCCTGGCCAACATGGTGAAACCCTATCTCTACTAAAAATACAAAAATTAGCTGGGCATAGTGGTGTACGCCTGTAGTTCCAGCTACTCGGGAGGCTGAGGCAAGAGAATTACTTGAACCTGGGAGGCGGAGGTTGCAGTGAGCCGAGACTGCACCACTGCACTCCAGCCTTGGTGAAAGAGTGAGACTTGGTCTTAAAAAAACAACAAAAAATTCTAAAATCAGTTAAAGCAATCCATCCTAACAGGCTAGAGAAGAAAAATTACATGATCATATCAATTGAAGGGGGAAAAGCATTTGGCAAATTAAATGCCCATTGACAATGAAAGCCCTCAGCAACTCAGAAGGGAAACTTTCTAAAGAACACGTACATAAAAGTCTACAGGTATCATACTTCACGATCTACACGGAATGCTTTCTTTCAAACATCAAGAAAAAGGCAAGTACGTCCTCTTTCAACACTTCTATTCAAAATCACACTGGAAGTTCCAGCTAGTGCAATAAACACAAGAAAAGGAAATAAAAGTAATATAGATTGGGAGGGTGAAGTAAGATGTTTGGGCCAGGAGTGGTGGCTCATGCCTATAATTCCAGCACTTTGGGAGGCTGAGGCAGGAGACTCACTTGAGCTCAGGAGTTTGAGACCAGTCTGGCAACATGGTGAAACCTCATCTCTACAAAACATACAAAAATTAGTTGGGCATAGTGGAGTGTGCCGGTAATCCCAGCTACTCAAGAGGCTAAGGGTAAAAAGTGCTTGAACCTGAGAGGCAGAGGTTGCAGTGAGCCAAGATCGCACCACTGTACTCCAGCTTAGGTCACAGAGCAAGAGTCTCAAAAAAAGAGAAATAAGAAATAAGATGTTTGCTAATAACATTAATATTTATAAGAAAGAAAATCCTAAGAAAGCTATCAAAAAATGTTGCTAGAACTATTGACTTCAGCTAAGTCACAGTATACACATAAAAATTATAATTTATGTATTTCTCTATAATTGCAAGTACTAAGTGCAAACTGAAATTTAAAACTCAATACAGGCCGGGCACGGTGGCTCACGCCTGTAATCCCAGCACTTTGGGAGGCTGAGACGGGCGGATCACGAGGTCAGGAGATCGGGACCATCCTGGCTAACACGGTGAAACCCCGTCTCTACTAAAAGTACAAAAAATTAGCCGGGCGCAGTGGCGGGCGCCTGCAGTCCCAGCTACATGGGAGGCTGAGGCAGGAGAATGGTGTGAACCCAGGAGGCGGAGCTTGTAGTGAGCCGAGATTGCGCCACTGCACTCCAGCCTGGGTGACAGAGCGAGACTCTGTCTCGAAAAAATAAAAAATTAAAATAAAACTCAATACAACATATAATGGCCCCCTAAGAAACTGTCTAGATTTTTAAAATATGTCCATAATCTATAAGCTGAAAATTACAAAACGCTTATGAATAAATCAAGGACCTCAATAAACAGAGGGACGTACCATATTCATGAACTGCAAGACTCAACAAGATGTCAATTCCCACCAAAATGATCTTTAGATTTAAGGTAATTTATATCAAAATCCCAGCAACATATTTCGTAGAGACAAACATGCAATATATATGCAAAGCCAAAGGAAAAAACTGATATGAAAGCCAAATCAATTTTTATTTTTTATTTTTATTATTTATTTTTTGAGACAGAGTCTCGCTCTGTCACCCAGGCTGGAGCGCAGTGGCACCATCTCAGCTCAATGCAACCTCCGCCTCCCGGGTTCAAACAATTCTTCTGCCTCAGCCTCCCAAGCAGCTGGGATTACAGGCACCTGCCACCTTGCCTGGCTAGGTTTTGTATTTTTTTAAAGAGATGAGGTTTCACCATGTTGGCCAGACTGGTCTTGAACTTATGACCTCATGTGATCTGCCCACCTCGGCCTCCGAAACTGTTGGGATTACAGGCATGAGTCACCGCGCCCGGCCTCAAATCAATTTTTAAAAAGAACAAAGAGTGAGGAATAAGTTTACCCTATTTTAAAATGTACTAGCTAGCAACAGTAATCAAAATAGAGTGGTACTGGCATAGGTTTAGGCTCAAAGACTAGTGGCATAACATAGAGAACCCAGAAATAGACCAATATGAATACACTTAAATAACTTTTTGCTACCGTGTAAAAGCAATTCAATAGACGCAGAATAGTCTTTTCAACAAATGGAGCTTTAAAAAATTCATGGGCAACAACAAAAGACACTCAACTACGGTTCATACTGTAATACAAACATTAACATGGATCAGATTCAAATGTAGAAGATAAGATTTGTAAGAGGAAATACGATAGAAAATATTAAGGACCTAAAACCTGGTGAGGAGTTCTTAGACATGACATAAAAAGGACAAGGAGGGCCGGGCGCAGTGGCCCACGCCTATAATCCCAACACTTTGGAAGGCTGAGGCAGGCAGATCACAAAGTCAAGAGATGGAGACCATCCTGGCCAACATGGTGAAATCCCATCTCTACTAAAAATACAAAAATTAGCTGGGTGTGGTGGCACGCACCCGTAGTCCCAGCTACTTGGGAGGCTGAGGCAGGAGAATCTCTTGAACCCGGAAGGCAAAGGCTGCAGCGAGCTGAGATCTCGCCACTGCACTCCGGCCTGGACAACAGAGTGAGACTCCATCTCAATTAAAAAAAAAAAGGACCAGCCAGGTGTGGTGGCTCACGCCTGTAATCCCAGCACTTTGGGAGGCCGAGGCAGGCGATTACCTGTCAGGAGTTTGAGATCAGCCTGACCAAAATGGAGAAACCCCATCTCTACTAAAAATAAAAAATTAGCCGGGCCTGGTGGCACATGCCTGTAATCCCAGCTACTTGGGGAAGCTGAGGCAGGAGAATT